GAGGAGAGACAGCCAGGAGAGAGAGCGAGGAGAGACAGCCAGGAGAGAGAGCAAGGAGAGACAGCCAGGAGAGAAAACGAGGGGAGACAGCCAGGAGAGAGAGCAAGGAGAGACAGCCAGGAGAGAGAGCGAGGAAAGACAGCCAAGAGGATGAGTAAGGAGAGACAGCCAGGAGAGAGAGAGCGAGGAAAGACAGCCAGGAGAGAGAGCGAGGAGAGACAGCCAGGAGAGCAAGGAGAGACAGCCAGGAGAGCAAGGAGAGACAGCCAGGAGAGCAAGGAGAGACAGCCAGGAGAGCAAGGAGAGACAGCCAGGAGAGAGAGAGCGAGGGAGGGGTTTTTTCGTTGGTAGATCTCATGTAGCTCGTCATTTGAAAAGTAGATCTTAAGACACAAATTGTGGGCGCCCCTGGTCTTGAGGGTCCACAAAGAGCTGCTACAATTGGCAGCTGGCAGCTCTTGATTTCCATTGAATCCATGCCAGAACGCTAAGAGTCATTTCTGAGGGCCAATGACTGTCAGAATGGGACTTGCCATAAAATGTATTGGACTGTTCAAGCAAGCCAGGCAAGCTTTGCTGAGTTCCTTTCCTTCTCATCCCATCTATTTAGCTGTTATTTTATCTATTTTATAATAACTTTTCCGTAAATGATTTCTTTTCATCAAAATGATATTTAAAACCTGTCAGGCCGATTCTCTAAATGCTCTCAATAACAAATGTAAGAATTCTTGCCTCTTTGCAGAACGCTACCATGTGTTCAACTCTGTTACCTCCCTGTCTGGTGTGGCAGTGAGATGTTGAGGCCAGTAGTGCTGCAGAGGATGCTGTGTATGTGGTGGCGGTTGTTGTTTGTGTGTGTAAAGGGTTAACTGCGGAGTTAATCACAGCGATGATGACTCTCAGTCTGCTGGGACTTATATTGTTGTCCCTCGGGCTGGAGAGCAATGGGATGGCAGCGGTGGGATTTGAGACTGCCACTGTCGGAAGTGGTGACTGTGTTCTTAATGTCCTTGTGTGTCCTCTTCCTCTGCAGTGCGGGAGGACTCATTGGTCCGGAACTACCGAATACACAAGCTGGATGGGACCTTCTTCCTGGTTCAACGTGCCCCATTCCCCTCCATTACAGAGCTGGTCCGGCATTACAGGGAGACACCAGACGGCCTGTGCACCAAGCTGGACAAGCCCTGCGTCAAGGTTAGATGACGGACTGCGTGATGGTATAAGCAAATCACCTTCCAGATAGGGAGGAGCACACCTTATTGGACAGTTTAGGGTTTAGACTCTTAGACCATCTCTAGGTCTTCTGCTAAACCAACCCAAAGTTCAGCTGGTGAGTTTAGAACCAGAGTTGTACAAGTGCTGACTCTACTACTGACCCTGTAACGTCACATGACCTATACACCAGGTAGCTCCACCCTGTCAGTCTCCTGCTTCTTCACATGGAGCTCCATCAGTTCCCGTGTCCAGGATATTAGGTTTTTGGTTTTGCACCTTTTCTATTCCACCAGGTGGTCCTAAATTTTAGGAGGTCAGTGAGGAGCATATGGTGGGCGGATGAGTTTCCTTGTCTAGGTCCATTAGTCTGGAGGGGGCTACTTGGGGATACTGAGGGCAATGATGGTTCATTGGTTCAACAGGAGGGGCAAAATGAATTGTATCCTAGAATGACATCTATTCAGAGATATAAAGAAATGCCTGGAGCAGTAAAAAGAGTATCAAACACTGAGAACGGGTGTCACAGGATGTCTCCCAATCCCCTTTGGGTCATATGTTGGTTCAGGTGACCCCCCCAGACACCAGTGACGTGCGGTATCTTTGGTTCCAGGTTTGAAGCCTTCCCTAGCCTCGCCCCTTACATGTCCTGTCCCGCCCCCCAGCCCAATAAAGCCACGTCCCCCAATCCACTGAAGCCCCTCCCCCAACCCGGTCCCCAAGCTAGTGTGAGGGAGGAGTAAACGAGGACACAGGGAGGAGCCTCCCTGTCCCTCACTTGCTGGTCACTGCTGAGGCATCGAGATCGATGTCCTCAGTGTTTTGTTTTTTCTTTTTTTTGATTTGACAGCTCGGACAAATGGAGCTTTGCCATTGGCCCAAGCCATCCACAGAGCTCACGCCCCTAACACAGAGTAGAGGCTGCGACAGCTCTGGCCTCACCAGGTTAGGTTGCACAAGCAATGGGGAAGCCCGCTGCTGCGTAACCTAACTACCTGTCAAAAGCCGGATGCAGCGCTGCCTGTAATTAACATCCAGCGCTCATTGCGAAAGTTCTTAGGGATGATCTCAGTGAAATGTAATCATTAGAATGGGCAGGTGGGAGAAGACGAGGAGGATCTATTAAAGGAGAACTATGAGGTGAGAGAAAATCACTCCTCCTCATAGTTCGGGGCGACGTGTGACAATGAGACTGTCACAGGTCGGCTCAGCAGATCGGGAACACATACCGGCGCTCGCTCACTTCTCGATCCTGTCCTTGCAGAGAGTGGTGACTGTCACTCACGGCTCCCTGCAGGGATTCCCCCCTCCCCTTTCCGATCCTCCAGCGCTGACTAGGGAGGTGGCTCTAGATAGGCAGAGCCAGCTGTTAATCCCGCAGCTGGGTGGATCCAGGCAAAATTGCAGCTCCCTATATACTGAGCGTTGGGTGACGGGAGGACGCTAGTTTGCGTTCTCCCGCGACCCTCAGGAGAACTATGGGGAAAAACACTGACCCCGTAGTTCTCCTTTAAATTATTTGATGCAATGAAACCAAAACCCCCATGAATAATCTAACATTTCCATAGCTGGACCCCCCACCCGTGGACAGCATCTCCCACCGAATGGTCAACCAGCTGGAGATCGACCCCGCGTCCATCAAAAAGGTCCGGAGGCTGGGCAGGGGGCAGTTCGGCCTGGTGTGGCTGGGGCTCTGGAATGGAACCACGGAAGTCGCCATCAAGGAGCTTCAAGGTGACCCCCAAATTCACTGCAAAAATTCTCTCATGTCCCTGTAACCTGCATCCCATCATATGAACTCAAATATATAGATAATATCAAAGATAGATAGATAGATAGATAGATAGATAGATAGATAGATAGATAGATAGATAGATAGATAAATAGATGGATGGATGGATGGATGGATGGATAGATAATAGATGGATGGATGGATGGATAGATAGATAATAGATAGATAGATAGATAGAGAGATAGATGATAGATAGATAGATAGATAGATAATAGATGGATGGATGGATGGATGGATGGATAGATAATAGATGGATGGATGGATGGATGGATGGATAGATAATAGATGGATGGATGGATGGATGGATGGATAGATAATAGATGGATGGATGGATGGATGGATGGATAGATAATAGATGGATGGATGGATGGATGGATGGATAGATAATAGATGGATGGATGGATGGATGGATGGATAGATAATAGATGGATGGATGGATGGATGGATGGATAGATAATAGATGGATGGATGGATGGATGGATGGATAGATAATAGATGGATGGATGGATGGATGGATGGATAGATAATAGATGGATGGATGGATGGATGGATGGATAGATAATAGATGGATGGATGGATGGATGGATGGATAGATAATAGATGGATGGATGGATGGATGGATGGATAGATAATAGATGGATGGATGGATGGATGGATGGATAGATAATAGATGGATGGATGGATGGATGGATGGATAGATAATAGATGGATGGATGGATGGATGGATGGATAGATAATAGATGGATGGATGGATGGATGGATGGATAGATAATAGATGGATGGATGGATGGATGGATGGATAGATAATAGATGGATGGATGGATGGATGGATGGATAGATAATAGATGGATGGATGGATGGATGGATGGATAGATAATAGATGGATGGATGGATGGATGGATGGATAGATAATAGATGGATGGATGGATGGATGGATGGATAGATAATAGATGGATGGATGGATGGATGGATGGATAGATAATAGATGGATGGATGGATGGATGGATGGATAGATAATAGATGGATGGATGGATGGATGGATGGATAGATAATAGATGGATGGATGGATGGATGGATGGATAGATAATAGATGGATGGATGGATGGATGGATGGATAGATAATAGATGGATGGATGGATGGATGGATGGATAGATAATAGATGGATGGATGGATGGATGGATGGATAGATAATAGATGGATGGATGGATGGATGGATGGATAGATAATAGATGGATGGATGGATGGATGGATGGATAGATAATAGATGGATGGATGGATGGATGGATGGATAGATAATAGATGGATGGATGGATGGATGGATGGATAGATAATAGATGGATGGATGGATGGATGGATGGATAGATAATAGATGGATGGATGGATGGATGGATGGATAGATAATAGATGGATGGATGGATGGATGGATGGATAGATAATAGATGGATGGATGGATGGATGGATGGATAGATAATAGATGGATGGATGGATGGATGGATGGATAGATAATAGATGGATGGATGGATGGATGGATGGATAGATAATAGATGGATGGATGGATGGATGGATGGATAGATAATAGATGGATGGATGGATGGATGGATGGATAGATAATAGATGGATGGATGGATGGATGGATGGATAGATAATAGATGGATGGATGGATGGATGGATGGATAGATAATAGATGGATGGATGGATGGATGGATGGATAGATAATAGATGGATGGATGGATGGATGGATGGATAGATAATAGATGGATGGATGGATGGATGGATGGATAGATAATAGATGGATGGATGGATGGATGGATGGATAGATAATAGATGGATGGATGGATGGATGGATGGATAGATAATAGATGGATGGATGGATGGATGGATGGATAGATAGATAGATAGATAGATAGATAGATAGATAGATAGATAGATAGATAGATGATAGATAGATAGATAGATAGATAGATAGAAGCGGAGAACAGAATTTCATTCTTTGGACTATTAGCACACACAGAGTTCAGGAAGACGTCAGGAAGGTATTACATTTGGTGTCACTCCTGTTGTCTCTCCATCCTCAGTGTCGGCGGAGTCCTTGCAGAAGTCTCTGTACGAGGAGGCCAAGACCATGTGGAGACTCAGCCATGAGAAGTTGCTGAAGCTGTACGCGGTCTGTCTGCAGACACAACCGGTCTTCATCGTCACCGAGTACATGAAACATGGAACTCTGAAAAGATACCTGAGAGGTGAGCTGCTGGGGCCCGGGGCCCCTCATGAGGTGTGCATAAACCTGGTTGTTCATAGGATGTCTGCAGACACATTTAGGCCCATTCACACCAGTCCACTGCAGTCCGTCAACCGCACACCCATTCTGAGTCTTGCAGTATGGCAGCCCCTAACTTCCTGTCTTGGTGACAACATTTTACCAGACAGGAAGTGAGGGGAACTCTCCATAGCAACACAGAAATAAAAAAGCTTTTCTTTCGTAGAATGGAGGAAAAACTCCGGTCAGGTTTCCATTGCTGTCTGTGTCGCCGCTGCAGATTTTCCCTCACTTCCTGTGCGGTGAAGCTGATGTCAACAAGAGTTGGCCTTTAAATCAGCTACAGGTGGAGGTGACACGTAATGTCGTTATGTCACAAATCTCACCCGCTCTTTCCTGCTCGTCCCTTCACTCGTGTCATTCGTCACAATGGCTGCTTCAGGGCTTTGTTCACCAGCAAATAATCCGCAAACACAATCGCTTTCCTCCATTCCGATGACAACATTCTTTTCTTTTCACCACAAGAATGCCGCGCCTCACATTCCTCCGCCTCGAAGTGCTTTCATCAAAAGAGACGCCAGAAAACAAATAGGAGAACGATTACATTAAATCTGAGAATAAGGAACTCAAATACTGACCCAATCCCAAACCCAGATCTTCAAATGAAAAGAAACAGATAAAAATGTCTATAAAAAGATACAATGTCTATAAAAAGATACAATGTATATAAAAGGTAAATAAAAAGATAGAATTTATATAAAAATTAAATGCGAGTAAAAAGATACAACATATAAAATATAAATAAAAAGATATAATGTATATAAAAAGATACAATGTATATAAAAATATATAATGTATATAAAATATAAATAAAAAGATATAATGTATATAAAAAGAAACAAGGGGAATTTATCCAAACTGGAGCAGACAAAATCTGGAGCAGCTGTGCACAGCAACCAATCAACTTCTACCTTTAATTTTCAAATCTTCACCGATCAAAATGAAAGAGAGAAGCTGATTGGTTGCCGCGCACGGCTGCTCCAGATTTTGTCTGCTCCGGTTTAGATAAATTCCCCCCAATGTGTATAAAAAGATACAAATGTAAGTAAGAGACACAAATGTAAGGTAAATGATACAATGTAACAGACGATACACTGTGAGGCCGTGGCTGCCAGGATTGTGGTCGGCGTATACATGTCACCGCGGTGAGGGGCTCCGGGATTTGTTATGGAGGAAACCAGCTTCTTGTCCTCTCTGGTCTGTAGTAAGTCCTGTTCTGGGTCCAGGAGCCCAGAGGTTTGGTAGAGCTTTGGGTGGGATAAAGCCTCCATTCCAGGACCACATCTCCCCAGGTAGCCCCGGACCCCGTTATTACTCCCAGCTGTCCTTAGGACTTTATATATGAGGTCTGACTGATGCTCGGCGCTCTCTCTATCTCTATCTCTCTCTCCTGCTGGGTGAAAGGGCCGAGTGCTGACAGAACACTAAAAAAGGAACAAGAGCTGCTTGCTAGCGTTAGGAATAAAGTCTTCCCATGTATCATTCTTCATGGTACCAACGTGCTTATCTCTGCATATCTAATGGTCACATAGCTGAACATAGAACAGAAAGACAAAACAAAGCACAACAGGAAATGACCGGATCTGGGAATAAAACCAGACCTATGGAGGAGCTCTAGCCCATTGGCCAATCACCTCAGGAGGTGTCACCCTACCTGCTGGGAGGAGAGGTTCTGCCTTCTGAAGTGGCCATAGGTTATTTGGGCCCGCCGGTTCCGATGCCTGGATCGGGGGTAGGATTTCCAATACCAGCACGTCAGCCTGATCACAATGAGTCCGATCACCACATGGCTGCTGCAAGCCGACCCCAAATTACCATTTTGTCAGTTTCTAGACAACCTGACACCTACAATGTTCTATATGCGAAAAAACAATATTGTGCCGAGCTAATAATCATACATATCTAATAAATTAAAACATATATAAATGAGTCACATATAGGAGCCTTCAAACAAATGAGGCATAAGAAATATCTACACACATACAAAAAAGCAATATAGGCAAAATATTTCTTATGCCTCATTTGTTTGAAGGCTCCTATATGTGACTCATTTATATATGTTTTAATTTATTAGATATGTATGATTATTAGCTCGGCACAATATTGTTTTTTCACATTTTACAGATATTTAGTTATATCCTTAGTGCTTGGTAGCTCATATTTCCACATTACACTTACTGGCGCTGATCACCTTTATTGTTTAGTTTTAATGTTCTATATGCGCGTAGCTTATAACAAGGGATCACTTTCATCTCCGTGGCGACTGATATGTTAGATTTTATGAGAGGTGAAAGGTAATTCCTCCGATCTATGAGAAGGACAAACATTTCCCACACAGCGGGGAGCCCAGTGTATGGAGATCTCCTGTCCTCCGCTGTGTCCTCTCTTATCTGACCTGGAACCTAGAAGGTGTGAGACCCTTCCATCTCCAGGTCCAAGAGGTCCATTCAAGTTCTAAAGGTCTCCTCTGTTGTACTGATCAGAGAAATGATAAAATATCTGATGATATTGATTCCCTTCTATACTTTGATGTCATGACATCATGTTAGTGATCTCGATCCGTTATTACAAGAGAAACCACATGTATCAGTATACCAAGGCGAGTGTTTCAAACTTCCATGTGCAGGGGAACCCTCAAGTTTAATCTGAAGAGTTTGGGGGTGATCTATAAAAGTTCCTATACTCACCAGGACCATCTAGGGCAGTGGTGGCGAACCTTGGCACTCCAGCTGCGCCAAAACTACAAATCCCAACGTGCATCTGCCTCTGGGAGTTATGTCTGTGGCTGTCAGAGCCTTGCAATGCCTCATGGGACTTGTAGTTCCAAAACAGCTGCAGTGCCAAGGTTCGCCATCACTGATCTAGGGGCTCTATAGCCGGACGGAACTTTTATATGTGAACCCCAAGAATTAGAAACTTGTTCTCTTTGACATTTCTTTTCCTCCTCAGCACTCTTTCCGCTTTTATTATTTGTATCCTAATTGTGTTACATTTCCCGTTATGTTTTGCTGCTTCCTATTCCTTCTTTTCATGGATCTCAGGGGGCAGAATCGGGTATCTGCAGGTTGATGACATCTAGTGGTCGGGTTGGGTCATTACATTTTATCATTATAGTGAGTTGATGACGTTTACTGATTCATTGTTTTCCTCATCATGATTGTGTGATTCCGCTTTTATAGACATATTTCAACTTTATATACTTTTTATGTCTAGATACACTATATTGCCAGAAGTATTGGGACGCCGGCCTTTACACGCACATGAACTTTAATGGCGCCTACTATATACATTTTATATTATTCATTTATCTGTCACATTGTTTGAATCCTCTATATATTGTTTGCCAACATTAGCAATGTATATTTTTGTAATAATGACTCATGTTTATGTATTATAAATGTTACTTTATCGTATTTTGTGTCCCGGTAGGCGAAGGCCTGTTGTTGGGTTAGCCCGCCAATGTCTAATGTTCAGGAGCCGCCAATTACTCTGACAGTTTTGTGTCTCTTTGCATGCACATGGGCCGCTTGCTGACATCTCCGGTCTGTATGCCGGCCTGGTTTTCAGATCTAATTCTTTAGAACCAACAATTTACACCCGGCCTCTTCACATCAGTCCCCGCCCTCGAGGAGCTTACAATCTAAGATCCCTATCTCACATGCATACATAGATGAGCCAATTAACCTTCCAGCATGTCTCTGGAGTGTGAAGAAGCCGGAGTACCCGGAGGAAACCCACGCAGCACAGGAAGAACATATAAACTCTTTACAGATAGTGACCTGACTGGGATTTGAACCAGATACCCCAATGCTGCAAGGCACTGCTAACTACTACACCACTGTGCTGCCCCAGATGTGCCTTCCAGTCTTCTGAATCATGGAGTATTTTAGTGCAGACTTACAGTGCTCATTGCCTCCCTACATTTCCTCAGTACCCTCCTCCTCCAGCCCGATGAAGGGACACGGCCCCCGAAGCATGTATGTGGAGGTACTTTTCAACACGTCTCTTTCATGTGGACCTCCTGCGTCTAGCTGAATAAAACTGCCGGACGAACCTGCTTGGACTGTCCCTGGGTGTCCCTGTCTCATGCATGATTTACCTCTGCCAGTACCAGTTGGGCCCGTCCCCTGTGCAAAACATAGACAGATGGACAGATGGACAGATAGACAGACAGGTAGATAGATAGATAGATAGATAGATAGATAGATAGATAGATAGATAGATAGATAGATAGATAGATAGATAGATAGATAGACAGATGGACAGATAGACAGACAGGTAGATAGATAGATAGATAAATGGCACCTTTTCAGACTGGGCTAGTGTAATGAGCGGTGTGCCTCAGGGTTCTGTGCTGGGTCCGATACTGTTCAACCTATTCATTAATGACATCGGGGAGGGAATAAATAGCCATGTTTCCGTGTTTGCAGATGATACAAAAATAGGGAGGGTAATAGAAACGGATGGTGACAATATAACATTGCAGGAGGATCTGGATAAAATAGGGGGAGGGGCATCTATGTGGCAGATGAGGTTTAATGTCGATAAATGCAAAGTTATGTACTTTGGACATAAAAATAAACAAATGGGTTATACAAAAGGGAAGTCTGAAATAGAAAAAGATTTGGGGGTCACTGTAGACCATAAACTCAATAATAGATTACAGTGCCAGGCTGCTGTAAGCAAAGCTAGTAGAGTCCTGTCCTGCATCAAGAAGGGAATGTACTGCAGGGATAAGTCTATAATATTGCCACTCTACACATCACTGGTTCGGCCTCACCTGGAGTATGCGGTGCAGTTTTGGGCACCGGTACACAGAGGGGATGTCCTTGAACAAGGACCAGAGCTATGAGACAAGGAGGAGGGGTAAGGGATGGAGGACCAGAGCTATGAGACAAGGGGGAGGGGCTGGAGGACCAGAGCTATGAGACAAGGCTTCTGACCTTAAACATGTTTACGCTGGAAGTAAGGAGATTAAGGGGTGATGTGATTTTCATGTACAAGATGTTCAATGGTGACGGCAACATTGGCAACAAACTGTTTGAGATTAACTCCGTTACAAAGACTAGAGGCCGCCACCTAAAGTTGGTGGAGAAAAAATTCCAGCACAATGGGAGAAGAGGGTTCTTTACTGTCAGAGCGGTTAGGGTCTGGAACTCTCTGCCACCGGCCGTCATCTCAGCCAAGAGTGCAGATTTGTTCAAGAAACGTTTGGACAATTTCTTGAGGGAGCGTAATATCCGGGGGTACCAGAACCCCTAAGAATGAGATGATGCGCGGACCGATATGGGTTGGACTTGATGGACGTATGTCTTTATTCAACCCCAAATACTATGTAACTATGTAAATAGATAGATAGTGATATTGCTGGTTCTGGGGCACAACTCCCGGTATATTCCTGGAATCTCCTCCTTTCCTTTAGGTGATAACAGTCACAAACAGACAGTGAAGGATGTACTAATATCTTCATCCTCCATTTCTCTCTGTTCTCTCGGCAGGTCGCCAAGAGCTCAGGAATTTGGAGTTTTACCAGTTGGTGGACTTTGCGGTGCAGGTAAGTGCGCTCTCAGCACAGGGATGGTGGGAGCCCCTCATAATGGGCACAGCGGGGGTACAGACCCGGGAACTCAGCACAGGGATGGTGGGGGCCCCTCATAATGGGCACAGCGGGTGTACAGACCCGGGAACTCAGCACAGGGATGGTGGGGGCCCCTCAAGACCCAGGAACTCAGCACAGGGATGGTGAGGGCTCCTCATAATGGGCACAGCGGGTGTACAGACCCGGGAACCCAGCACTTTGCACATCCTTAGTGAATAACAGGATACATTACCATTTCCTCAACCCCTCTCCTCAGATCGCCCAGGGAATGTTCTACATGGAGCAGAAGGGCTGCGTGCACCGGGATCTGCGCTCCGAGAACATCCTCCTGTCTGCCATGATGTCCTGTAAGATCGGAGACTTTGGACTGGCCCGTTTCATGGACAGTTCTTCCATCGCTGTGTCTGCAGGTGACTGAAATTACCTAGAATTGGTTTTGTCTGATTGATACATTGCGGGAGTAATGATAATTTTTTCTGCCTCGGCCTAAAATGTGTAAATTAGTATTCTGTAGAATGGAACATAACCCAACGTGGGCAACCTTCAATGCTCCACAACAGCACAGACGTTGGGGCTCGTGTCCGATGGTTCTGTTCATTTCTGTCCGATAAACCCTCAGACTGCGGGACATGGGTGTAAATGGCCGGAGCGGCCCCCTTATTTAACCACAAAACAATCACCAGTTTCTATCCTCGGAGAATATTCTTTTTTGTTCAGATTTCTCCCTCTAAGTTCACTAACCAGCTTCTCATTAACAGGCGCTCAGATTCCCATCAAATGGACGGCCCCTGAGGTCTTCCAGTACCAGAAATACAGCAGCAAGTCTGACGTCTGGTCCTTTGGGGTTCTGCTGGGAGAGATCATGACCTACGGCAAGTTTCCTTTTCCAGGTAAGTGTCCCTGCCGGGTGTGACATGGCTGGCTATGTTATTTATCATTGGATGCTTGCCACGGGCAACAAGCAGCAGAAGGCTCTCAAGGAGGGGCAGTCTGTAGCAATGTCAGGTCTTCCTCAGGGCCTCTGGTCATGCAGATGTTATGATGCAGATAGGAAATAGATGGGAATACTTGCGACTGCTAGGTGGTGACCACTAATGGTTTAGAGAGGACCGGTACAAAGTACCAGGTCATGAGTAATGCCATCAGGGTAGGCTGGAGGTCAGTATGGGCACAGGGCAGGTTGTAGGTCAGGGTGGACTGTATGTCGGGGCAGGTCGAAGGTAAGGGTGAGCTGGAGATCAGGGCAGGAAGAAAGTTAGGGGAGGCAGATATAAAACATTTGTATTGAACAAGCAGAAGGTCTGGACAGGCAGCAGGCAGGAACCAAAAACAACCCTGAGAGAATATAGCAAATATCAGAGGATGAGCTGAGTACAAGTCAGAAAAAGGTGCCAAGCTCAAACCAAGTTGTATACAGGTTCGTGCTGCCTCTCAGATGTCCCCTCAGTGCTGCCTCTCAGATGTCCCCTCAGTGCTGCCTCTCAGATGTCCCCTCAGTGCTGCCTCTCAGATGTCACCTCAGTGCTGCCTCTCCGACGTATGGTTTTGTCTGATTGATACATTGCGGGAGTAATGATAATTTTTTCTGCCTCGGCCTAAAATGTGTAAATTAGTATTCTGTAGAATGGAACATAACCCAACGTGGGCAACCTTCAATGCTCCACAACAGCACAGACGTTGGGGCTCGTGTCCGATGGTTCTGTTCATTTCTGTCCGATAAACCCTCAGACTGCGGGACATGGGTGTAAATGGCCGGAGCGGCCCCCTTATTTAACCACAAAACAATCACCAGTTTCTATCCTCGGAGAATATTCTTTTTTGTTCAGATTTCTCCCTCTAAGTTCACTAACCAGCTTCTCATTAACAGGCGCTCAGATTCCCATCAAATGGACGGCCCCTGAGGTCTTCCAGTACCAGAAATACAGCAGCAAGTCTGACGTCTGGTCCTTTGGGGTTCTGCTGGGAGAGATCATGACCTACGGCAAGTTTCCTTTTCCAGGTAAGTGTCCCTGCCGGGTGTGACATGGCTGGCTATGTTATTTATCATTGGATGCTTGCCACGGGCAACAAGCAGCAGAAGGCTCTCAAGGAGGGGCAGTCTGTAGCAATGTCAGGTCTTCCTCAGGGCCTCTGGTCATGCAGATGTTATGATGCAGATAGGAAATAGATGGGAATACTTGCGACTGCTAGGTGGTGACCACTAATGGTTTAGAGAGGACCGGTACAAAGTACCAGGTCATGAGTAATGCCATCAGGGTAGGCTGGAGGTCAGTATGGGCACAGGGCAGGTTGTAGGTCAGGGTGGACTGTATGTCGGGGCAGGTCGAAGGTAAGGGTGAGCTGGAGATCAGGGCAGGAAGAAAGTTAGGGGAGGCAGATATAAAACATTTGTATTGAACAAGCAGAAGGTCTGGACAGGCAGCAGGCAGGAACCAAAAACAACCCTGAGAGAATATAGCAAATATCAGAGGATGAGCTGAGTACAAGTCAGAAAAAGGTGCCAAGCTCAAACCAAGTTGTATACAGGTTCGTGCTGCCTCTCAGATGTCCCCTCAGTGCTGCCTCTCAGATGTCCCCTCAGTGCTGCCTCTCAGATGTCCCCTCAGTGCTGCTTCTCAGATGTCCCCTCAGTGCTGCCTCTCAGATGTCCCCTCAGTGCTGCCTCTTATATGCCCCCTCAGTGCTGCCTCTCTGATGTCCCCTCAGTGCTGCCTCTCAGATGTCCCCTCAGTGCTGCCTCTCAGATGTCCCCTCAGTGCTGCCTCTCAGATGTCCCCTCAGTGCTGCCTCTTATATGCCCCCTCAGTGCTGCCTCTCTGATGTCCCCTCAGTGCTGCCTCTCTGATGTCCCCTCAGTGCTGCCTCTCAGATGTCCCCTCAGATGTCCCCTCAGTGCTGCTTCTCAGATGTCCCCTCAGTGCTGCCTCTCAGATGTCCCCTCAGTTCTCAGATGTCCCCTCAGTGCTGCCTCTCTGATGTCCCCTCAGTGCTGCCTCTCAGATGCCCCCTCAGTGCTGCTTCTCTGATGTCCCCTCTGTGCTGCCTCTCAGATGTCCCCTCAGTGCTGCCTCTCAGATGCCGCCTCAGTGCTGCCTCTCAGATGTCCCCTCAGTTCTCAGATGTCCCCTCAGTGCTGCCTCTCAGATGCCCCCTCAGATGCCCCCTCAGTGCTGCCTCTAGATGTCCCCTCAGTGCTGCCTCTCAGATTCCCCCTCAGTGCTGCCTCTTATATACCCCCTCAGTGCTGCCTCTCAGATGCCCCCTCAGTGCTGCCTCTCAGAT